TTTCCTTGATTTCTGTTGAATAAATTATACTTTTAAGGGTGTCAAGCAGTGAGAGCACGAGTGTTGCGTCTACATCGTTGACGTCTTCGCTTTTCGGCAGCACGTCTGGCACTGGCTCTGTAGTACTTCCAACGTCAGCTGTGCGGAAAAGCACAAGATGTGCTGTTGTTCGTCCTATGGTTGATGTGAGCGTCAAAAGGGAACCAGCTAATGACGTCGCTAACAATTTACGTCAATTGATGCCTAACTTGGGCTTGACTGTCCCGTACGTTTTTGAATAATTCTGCTAAAGGCTTCTTAGTGAAGGAAATAGATATTTGAGAAGTTGTTATCATTCTTGTGGTTGTGTTTTCTTGGTTTGTAGTTGCGGTTTTAAGCACTGCGTCTCATCCTGTGTAAGTGGTTCTAAAAGGCTTTATCGCTTAAGTTGCGATGCTTTAGATTAAACCACTCGCTTCACTTTCTTTCATAATACTTTGTTATGTTCTTTCAGGCCTGCTAATTTTTATCCGGAAGTCCTCTACAGACAGTAATATGTATTTTATTTAACAAACAGCTAATTTATGAACTCACCTCGATTTTATTTCTCACTCTAACCCGGTAACTAGTGTATGAATTTTTCCTTGTTTTACACTGTCGGTGACCTGCGTGTTAGCATTACACCATTTATTTTTTAAATCATCCTGTTTTTGCTGTTGTTTAGAAAATTTATCTGTTGGCTTTATAAGTAGCTTTGTAGCTACGTTTTACATAGGTTTTTTTATTTTCTTTTATTTTGTGTGCTTCTGACTTCAGTAGTCTGTTGAATGCGTTATAAGGTTAAGAGGATGTGGTTCTTTTATTGTGATCGGAATCAAAATTTCTTTTTATTGCTTTGGTTTTTGTACGTGGGAAATGTGAGCTATCCACCTTTTTGTAAAAATTGGTTTTTGTATTTTGAGCTTGATTTTGTTCTTGTCAGCTAATTTTTGTATTAGCAGCAGGAGGAGAGTTGAGGGAATTGTATCTAGGAGGGATAAGAAGTGCCAAAAAATTTTTCTAACCCCGATTGTATGTTTAAGTGACAAATGTTGTCCTTCATTGCTTGCTCTGCAAGCGTAATGTGATGGTACGGTTTCGGTTTATTCGTACGTTTATTTATGTAGTTTCCCTTTTTTTTTTCTTCTGACTTCTGTATTCGAGCTTTGGGTTTTTTGTTACAAGCAGTTACTAGCTAGTTAGTACTTTCAATCTAAGGCCTAACAGTTTGTTATTTCTGTTTTGTTTTAGATTAAGGGATGACCAGATGGCGCATACAAAGTAGTTACTTTTTTCAAAAGTAGTTACTGAAATATTCTTTTTTCGTTAGGTTTGAAAAAAGGTTTTTGCGAAAATGGTTGTCATCTTGATGCTTTTATTGATAACGTAAGAAATTTCCATGGGTATCAAGTTTCTGTTTTCGTCTATATTAGGCTGTAATCTGCTTGCCGCAATTACTCTCTCACTGTTTGGAATTTCCTGTTAGGATTTTTTTTTCAAGCAATTTTTTGTTCCTTGACAGTGTAATATATGCTACTTTTATTTTACACATTGTACTGCAGTTGATTTGGTTGATATGAGCGTCATTATTATTTCTATATTTATTTAAATCGTATTACTGCTTTTTTGGTTATGTAGATTTTGTACTTGTTGTTGAGAGTTTCTTATTTTTCCTACCCCTCTCTCCTTAAAATTTGTTTTTGCAATTGAATGTTTTTTTTTCACAGATTACAAATTAATCAGGTTGTGAAGAAGAGGTTTTCTTATCTTGTAAAGCTGTGAGAATGAGCATCTCCGTCTTGCGAAGGCATGATTAGTTGATTAATTGATTTTTTTCACTTTTTTTGTGCATTTGTTCTTGTTTAGTAAGTACTGGACTACTACTTAGTGCCAAAAAAACTTGAGACAGATTCAGTGAGAGGGACAAGGTGCTTTACTTCAGAGAAAAAGAAAAAGGTTATTTTTGGTGAAGTATTCTACTTGTTTGTTTGTTTGCTTGCTTGCTTGTTTATCTGTTCTTTCTTTTGTGTAGAGAATGGAAGGGCTTGGATAATTCCTTTTCAAAACAGTGGTGTGATGGAATTGTGATATATTTTTTTCATGTTTATAAATTTTTTTAAAAATTTCATTTGGTTTTTTTTTTGTCTTGTGTGTGAGTGTGTCTGTGTGTTTATGCGTATGTGTTTGTGTCAGTGTGTGTTTGTTTGATTGTTTGTCTGTGTGCATTGTTTCGTGTCTGTGAATATCACAGTGTAGTTATTGGCCTTAACCGATTTGTAAATATTACATGAGATTATTTTATCTTCTTCTATTCTGATACTTCATTTTTTAACTTTTATTTTATTTTATTTTTTTCGTTTTACTTTTTATTTTTTTTTCTTGTATATTATTGGACTGGTAGTTTCTTGTTTTCTGTTTATTCCTCTATTGGTTGCTTAGATTCGTTCAAGGCTATTAACACTATCAAGGCGTCTAGTTGTTCACATATTTTTTCCTTCAAGTTTTATTTATGTGGAATGTTGTTTACCATGTTTTTCCTCCTCACTCGTTTTTTTTCCTGTCCTAAAATTCTCTTGTCATATTTATGGACAACTCTACATTTCTTTTGCTTAGCTTCATTTATATGAGCAGTCAGTTCTGTATTAAGCTTTGTAGAACTACTTGTTCTTTTCTTTTCACACTTGTTTGTTCGTTTGTTTGTTTGTTTGTTTGTCATTTATGATTACAGTTGGAAATCCTTGCCAAGCCATATTACCATAATGTTTCGAAAAACTCTGTGAGTTATTTTCTTGGTATTAGAAAGATATAAAAAAATTTGGCTTGGTTTACTACTGTGTTTTCCGCAAATCAAATCATTCGTTCATACCGATCTCCTTTTCTATCCACCTTTATTCACTAAGTTAGTCGGCCGTTTTGGATGTTCTCCGTTAGCCAAATTGGACAGGATGTATTTTCTAATTGGTTCACGTCATTATTGCAGTTTTTGTCATCACCGTCATCGTAATTATCATCAGCATTTACGTTCTCAAAAAGTACTCGTTTTTTTGCCAGAAGTAACATTCTCAGAATTAGAATGGCACGCTGTGATCGACGGTCAAGAAAAGTACAGTAGTGTGGGCCATTTAAAAGAGCAGATTGCCAGAGAACTGGGTGGTCATTTTTAATGTCCAGATCGTGAGCCGTAACTGGGAGGGAATTATTACTACTACTAAGTTTTTGACTGCGACACTTTGAAACTACAATTAATAAAAGAAAAAAAAATATGACAAAACAGTCAAGAATTTTGATAAGAAGGTCGAGCAAATGGGTCATAAGAACTACCATCTAGCTTTCGAGGTGATTTGGCGCTGGGCTTGCGCATACTTTTGATAAACGTTGTGTGAAGCCTACTTCCCGTATGCATTTAGTGATCTTTTTTTTCGGGGTTGGTGTAGGCTGGGTAGACGCAGTTGATTATTCCGAGAAGGCAGTCTATTGAATATTATGAAAGAGCTCCCTCATTTTCTCGCAAATGTTTAATTATGAACCAACCTGCGTTAGTTTTCTTGTTCGCTTTTCTTTGGAGCTTCCTGCGTCATCACAAGTGGTAATTAGAAGTCGGAGGGCGGATGTCTTTTGTTATATCTGCTTGAGATAATTAAAGGTTTTATTTTTTAGTGAATTGTTTTTAGCAATTGATTTTTTTGTAGGTAAAGATAGCTTCCGGCCTTTTTTTGGATAAACTCGCTTACCAACATTCATTTTTCTCGTGATATTGCTTCAAACCTTAGAGTTGTTTCTTAGCAGGAAGCTTGAGCGCAAGAGATGCTGCTTACTTGGTTTCTGGTCATTTAGCCCGGTATCTTTGCTAATCTGAAATCAGACGCACACAAGACTTTTGGTTTTAACTATTTTTCCATGGGGGGAGGGGGGAAATGCGGTGAATGGACAGAGAGGATAAGAGAACAGAAACTAAGGGATTGAGAGAGGAAAAGTCCAGAAAAATGTGGTTTTTGTTGAATAATTGGTTCCAAAATTTGATGGCTTGCTCATTTGTTCTCTTTTTTTTTGTTTATTTATTTTAAAATACCTAATTCAGCCAGGCAAAGTAAGGCAAGACAAATATAAAGAAAGGGAGCAAAAAGAACGAGTTGGAAGCACTGGAGTTAGGAGATATAAAAATGTAGTGCTGAGTTTTAATCTTGCTTCCAGCCAGCAGTCATCAGTGGCTATGGATACAGTTTCTATTGAAAAAGATTTGATGACGTTGTGGAAGCAGGAACAACAGGGCAACAGGTGAATGACAAGCATCTTTCAGATCACTGTGAGCACTGAATGAAGTGTTATCGTTGATTCATCCCACCCTTAAATTTTTTTAAAGAATGGAATGTGTTGTTTAGCTATCGAGAGTAAGTGCGTTCGTATGAACGTATCAGTGAGTCACGCGTGTACAGTGATTTATGAGATAAGGGCATTAATCGTTTTGCAAGTGCAGTCATTGAATATCGCACATTACTGAAGTGGAGCAGGAGCAGGCGTGTTAGAAGAGTTTTTGCCCAAAACAAGAAATGCAAGGATATATTTGTATTTACATGTGGCGCTATATCGACTTGTTGTGGATTTTCTTCTCAACTGGTTCCTACTGAAATTCTACAATTATATTTTCGTCGTGCTTTTTCTCCGAATGTTTTTGCTGATGCTATTGAGACAACTACTGTTGGGCTGATCAATGCGCTCTTTATGGACGGGTGATAGTTGAAGTTTCTTGTTTGAAAAACAGGATTGGAAGCAATGAGGCTGCTGCTGATCGTTGGTTACATTACACTATTACTTCTGGTGAAATAAAAAAAATAAGTAAATAAATCGGTATATATATATATATATATATATATATATATATAT